TAGTACACAAGGTTCGACATCCTTTACATGGGATGAAGCAGGGCATACAACAATTAATTTTATGACTTTACAGTAGAGGGCAAAAGGAGTTACTAAAGCATAATATTTAAAAGAATACAGTTCTGGAAAATAGTTATTAATGCAGTATTGTTGAGCATTCCCCTTGTTATATTTATACAAAAATGTACAATGCAGAGCAATGTTTAAATATTCAAACACTTTCTGGAGTGTTGTCAAATCATTTCCCCTAACTGCAAACAGATTTGACCAAGGATAATGTTTTGTGGACTGTCTTAGGGAATCAAACAAGTAAGAATATTGGTCAGAGTAAGACACTCTTGAGAAGAATCAGTAATTATTATGTGAGATACAACCACCTAGCAACAATTCCATATAAGCTATATCAGTGTATGAGAATCATAAACAAAGTCTACCTCTGTAGTGTACACATAGTACATATATTATTTAACAAAATTATAGCTTTCTTGCTCAGGGTGGTATTTGCACAGGTGTAGAAGAATGTAGCAACCATATGTTTCAATCAACCAAGAGAAAGACTTTTTCTAGGTGTTTTGACTTTATGGAGAGCCTTGCACTGAAGAATAGGATCATTTCTAATTCACTTCCCTCTGACAAATACACCATGTCAGCAGATTTTCCCCTTTCAAAGTGCCAAATTCCTGACATTATCTATAGGAAGTTAATATAGCTGAAATGCTCCAATGTGTCTAGGAACAGCCATTTTTAATACCTTAAATACTTAGGCCTATTAGGAATTAATCCCATGGTTTTCAGGCTTCATTTCCATGCACTTATGAAACAGATCCCTACAGAAGTCCCATGGGGCTGTCATATGACATGAGGGCACTTCCGGTGTGACTGTGGGACTCCATTTGCTAAGTGCATAGAAATGGAACCTGAATACTGTCTTCAGGAGTTGGGTGTTACCCAACTCCAAGCAGCATAATGTGGGAGAAAGTGGGGAGAAAATGAGGAAAGGTGCAGAAAGAATGTGGGATGGCTGGCCATCCCTGAAGATGGGGAAAGACAGTAGGGAATGAGGTGAGAGCTTTTCTCTTGCTTGTCTGATGAAGTCCTTAGTGTTGTGCTCTGCAATACCCACAAATATTGCCTCTGTAATCAAGTCATGTGCATTCTGATGTGGTTTTCTCAGTGCAGTGCTAGCTGGAATGTACTTGAGCAATACATCAAATTGAATCTGAAGGCAAAGTCATGGTGATATGTAATTAGGATTTCCGTCCAGGCAGTTTATAAACTGGTTTCCTTATCACTAGGCTTTCTCTTTGCTTGTCCACAGTATTATGAAAGGGCATGTAAATTCTATGAAGCCTTGGACAGTAATTAGTTTCACTGGATAACTATTTTGCTCATCCTGTTATAACGAGGAAGAACATGCTGATGGGAAGATAACTGAATTTGAAAGAAATTTTTCTAATACTGTAATGCCTTTATTTATTTATTTATTGAAGTTATATTCTGCCTTTCTGCTACAAATTATGCACAATGAGGCAAGCAATGTTTTAAAAATAAGTATTTTTATATTTGTAGTGTTTGCAATTTACACAATTACACCAATAAATTGCAAACACTACAAATATAAAAAAAAACATTGTTGATGATCCATTTTCTTCCCTGTGCATTTTGCCATGTATTTTAGCAGCCAGTCAATGTAGCAATTTGACATTATAATAGCAATATTACAAGCACATAATTTAAGTTCCATCTGCAAGCAAAGGTTTTTCCCCAAACTCAGTGGAAGACCCACTAACATGAAAGATTGGTAGTGACAGAGATGCTTGGCAGTACCCAATTGCTAAAAATGAAATTAATTGAAAAACAATAATTGGTTCTACTTGTTTATTTACATTAAAGTGGCAGAAATTTAAGCAGGGGATACAATTAATTACAGAGGGAATACATTACAAAGGGAAACTTAACGGCAATTGCAAAAGGAAATGTAATTACAAGGAGAGAACGATTAATTGGGTAAGACAAATTGTTAATTAAGATTTCATTATCACGAGTTTCTGAGTTCTTCCTGAGCAGTCTATGATGCAAGAACTATCACACCACAATTGACTGACACAGTATTTCAGTGGTTTATGATTTATTTCTAGTATCTTATTGGAAAGCTGTCACTGAACATGGAAGCTAGAATGGCAAAGTGGTTTGCACATTGGACTAGGACTCTGGAAACTAGAGTTCAAATCCTCACTTGGTAATAATAATAATAATAATAACAACAACAACAACAACAAAACTTTATTTATACCCCGCCTCCATCTCCCAAAGGGGACTCGGGGTGGCTTACATGAGGCCACGCCCATCAATACAGTAAACACAATATAACACAAAAACACAACAGAAAATCAGAAAATAAAATAACATAAGATGCAAAACCAATATAAATAAGCGACACAGCAATATAAACTCAAACATTAAAACACAAATGATCACACTGGGCAGGGCCAAATTCAAAGATAAAATTTTAAAACACTGGGAGATAGGACAATGTAAAATATCAGGGAGGGGATCTGGGGATCAGGCAGGATTTAACTCCACGAACCATAAAATAAAGTTATGGAGATCCACTCTCCAAGTCTCACACTCTCAACTCCAGAGGGAGCCAAATGCAAACCCTTTGTACAAAAAATGTCAAGAAAAATCCATGATAGGGCTGTGAAGCCAAAGATGTAAGTTATCAAAGATCGCTGGTTACCGAGGGCTGCCTGGCAAACTGCCTGGCAAGCATACTAACCACAAATGTTCCAGATCAGAAATCAGGACCTCACCAGTTTGAAGGTAAACGACAGAAGATTTACCCAATCTGCAGAAGGGATGCTGGGTACCACAACGGATGCCAAAATGAACAAGCAAAAAGGATACGGGAGGTGCAGTCACATTTATACAGAAGAAATTCCATGCATTAATATTGCTATGGCTTGAAATTCCCTGTTGTTTCCCTGATTGGTTCACGCTGACAAGCTGACCAGTGTTTTCCCAGCATCTGATTGGCCGAGGGCAGGCTTTGGCAGCACTGATTGGCCCGGGTGGTGATTACATAAGGATCCCCCTCCCTGCCGGGCGGGGAAGCCCTGGGGTGTCCAATCAGCAGATGGAGGCATTTCCTGGGGTGGGCTGGTTCCCAGGATTTTGCACCCATCTCTGGGTGTTGGTCAATGGAGTGTAGGAGACAATGAGTGTCTGGATGGGTAGATGATGAGATTATGGGGATATTAAGTCCAGGGTGTAGGGGAGCAATGGGTGACAAGTCCCCAGGTTTATTTCCATGCTGTGAAGACAATGATTAAGTTCAGGAAATGGCTATTGGAAATAGTGGAACCATAAGAGCTATCACAATCCTTGTTAAAGTCCAGCTGGCGACACAAATTCCCCAGAAGGGAAGTTTCAGATGGCAATCAAGTGTCCCTCTGCAGGATGTCAAGAAGGACATTGTCCCAGGGATGATTGTCCAAAGTTGTGCCTCCCGCCCAAGTTTTTCTCCTACTGGTTATATTTCATAGAGATAAAATAAAAAAAAATTAAAATATGAATCAAGTGGGGTTTCCGCATAAGTTCATAATCTTCAAAATAAGGGAGAAGCAGGGGTCTTGGCTGCACAAAGAATTGGAAAAATTATTTCCCCCTTTGTTGTCCTTGTCTGCTTCCCTATACACATGCAAACATTTGAAGGAGAGAAAGGAAAAAAGGATACATAATTCAAGAAGAAAGTGTTGGTGAAGCCCAGGCTTTTGGATTCATGGTAGCTTTTTGGAATTATGTTTAAATTTCTTATATTGGAAGTTGTATGTCCCTAGAGAGACCTCCTCTGGGGCCAGGGTCTTTCCCACAACTGCTGATGCATACATGTCACCAGCCAAGGAGTACTGGGGACCCCATATTACTGATGCAGCACCAGGAACAGAGCAACTATCTGGGATAGCTGTGGGTCCGCGGGAGAGGCTCTTGGGTGGGCTCAGCCCCATGTGACCCCCACTCAAACCTGTCATACCTGGGGGAACCTTGTTCCCTGAGAATATACGCTGATTCAGACCAGTTTAAAGGGATAAGCCAAAATGTGTGGGCAGAAAGGAAATGAGCTTCATGGAAATGGGGTTAGCTGCTGGTCTAGTGGTAGGGAATCTATATGTATGTGTATGTGTGTATATATATCGCATTCCGAGGATGAGGCAGAAGCAAGGAGAGATTTAAAGGAAGGAGCTATAGAGCTGTGATTTACATACTGCTTTGTATATCCTCTCTCTTTTTTTAATGATTGGCTGCCTCTCTCTCGAGGGGGAGGGTGAAATCCCCTTCCACACTCCATCGTTGCCAGGAGGCAAAAACCTGCGAAACAGTGAGTCCGTGAAAAGCGAACCGCAAAGTAGCGAGGGAACACAGTATATGATCTATTCTCAATGGCTGCTCCCAGAAGGAAGAATAAAGACAGAAGAAGGGACCCTGTATTGTTTAAGGCTTTAATGGCCAGAATCAGTGGGTTGTTGTGTGTTTTCTGAGCTGTATGGCCATGTTCCAGATGCATTCTCTCCTGACGTTTCGCCTGCATCCATGGCATGCATCCTCTATGGATCTATGGATGCCTACCATAGATGCAGGTGAAATGTCAGAAGAGAATGCTTCTGGAACATGGCCATGCAGCCCAGAAAACACACAGCAACCCAGAAGGAACTCTGTTACCACTACAATCTATGAAAGAAGTTTTCCAGAGAAGAGAGAAACAATGGTATTGGGGCCAAAGGAGGGAGCCAATGGGATGGTTAAAGGGCAACAGTGGTGGGATGAGAGGAGGAAGAATAGAGAAGGATGTGTGTACATGTGTTTGCTAGGTATATCAAGTATGTGCTATTTATTTACAACATTTATATGCTGCCCTTCTCATCCTGAAGGGGACTCAGGGCAGCTTACAATGTTAGGGAAGAGAGATGGTTTGAGGAACAAAGACAAAGAGAGATCCAGAGTACTGGAAAGCACGCTTTATTCTCGGTTGGCGCCAACCGGATATAGACCCCCTGGTAGGCCAGGAAAGAAGGGTCCCGAACAAAAGAAATGCAGAGTATTTATACACTTTTTGAAAATAAGTATTCATGCATCATAGAAACATCACAATGTGCGTCACAAACATCTACTCTTTCACTGACTTCAAAGGCATATTTTGAAAATCAACAAGTTGTCAATCCTCATTAATTTACTATCTAAAGAGTGGCTATTAATGTACTCCCAGCGCCAGGATGTCTCCGGACCTGCTCCATCCATCTTGAGATAACATTCCTGAGACCCCCTAATGGACACTTCATTAGTCAATTTTACGATAAGGTACCAGGCACCTCTTAATGGATGATAAGGTGCCTGGTGCCTGGTATGTATCTTATCTTATGGCCTTTCGAAGTGCCAGGCACCACATTCCTTTCCTGGAGCTGGCCTCTAATTTTGCAGCCTTTGAGAAGTCCAGTGAACTAGCCATGCATACATACATTTCTCTTATATATTTTCTAACTCCTATTTCTAATATGGTTATATCAAATATATTTTCCAATATGTGTATTATGTATTTTCATCAAGCCTTCATCAAATCCCCCCTTTGGTGCTCTGAACCGGAAGGGGAAGAGCATCATCTAACTAAAGCTAATAATTGCATTTCGTCTTGTTTATCATTTACCATCTTAGATATGCATCTCTTCAGCATTTGGAAAATAATAGGCAGAATACATAACATTAGTAACACTACTAATAGGATTATACAGAAAGCAAAAAACAGTTCCTTTAACCATTGAATCGATGGTAGCCAGCTCGTGAGCCAATCAAAAGGGTTTGAAACCCCATGTGTGTTGTTTTCTATTAAGTCTGTCATTTGATTTAATTCATCCTCAATTGTTTTATTCAGATCATGGAATCTGACTTTGCAACCTTCTTTCATTAGTTTACAGAAACCTCCTTGTCTTGCCAACAGGTAGTCCAGGGCCATACGGTGTTGTAAGACAATTTGATGTAACTCTTCTACTTCATTTTGCATGGCCCTAACTATGAGTCCTGTGGCATTTATGGATTTTTCCAATCGGCAGGTGAGGCCTAGGATACTCTTTCTATTTTCTTGGGCCACTATGCCTGGGTAGCTTCCAAGCGTCAGTATGCCCGTTAACAGACCTCCAGCCACTCGGCCTCCTTCTGTCTCAGACAATTGTGCTCCTATTATTACCTCATCTGAGCAGGCCGGGCCTAGGGGTGCTGATCTGTCTCGCTTTGTTCTTATGCGGCGAGAAGCAACCTGGACTGGGAATGTAAAGTATCCAACACCTACACACTGGTATCCACCTGGATGGAAATTTGACGCCCAACCATCATAGAAAAACCACAAATTGGGATCATATATTTTCCAATCATTACATGTAAGAATATCCCCTTCATTTGTCATGCTTTTTCTCATCATTAGGGCTCTTAAGTCTTTCAAAAACTCTTCAAGTGTGTTATATTGTTCCATAAACTGTGAAAATAACCCAAAGGAGCTATCTTTCATGATTTCATATTGTTCTCTGGCTTTTTTGTAATATTCATCCTCTCCCTGGGAGGGGTCACTGTATTGTTCTTGGAAATATAAACTGTGCCAATACCCTGATGCTTGGGAAGCATTATGTTTCCCATGAAGGTAAAACTTCTCAGTGCAGTGAGAGTAATTTCCCACATTGAGAAGGATTTCCCTCTCCTTTTCTGGGATACTCTTCCACCCTTTCCGATAACCTTCTGGGTAATAACAACAAAAACATTTGCCAGGGGTGGTCTTTGAAACCTTTATCATTCTGTGCCGTAGCCCATTTAGAGAGGCAGGGGGGTTAAAGATTGTAGGTTTTCCTGTTTTCTCTGCTAAGAGAAGAGTGGCCAAAACCACAGCTTCCTCATTGATCAAAGCAGGCAAAAAGGAAAACTCACGTACTGTTTCAGGGTGTTCATATATCAGAGTGGCATTTCTCCCATATTGATCAAACATAAATTTGGCATGCTCTTTGAACCAGTTACCATCTACTTCTAAAATTGACACACACATTAACACACATATCACCCACAAAGCTTTCATTCTTCTGGAATCTGACCGTATGTAGAGCAACCGTTCCGGTAGGCTGCAATAGGGTCTAGTTCCGTCTTCTATCCTCTCCAGTTGGGGTCTGACAGTGCGTAGAGCTTAGTCGCTTCCAGGTATGGACTTAAGCTGCAGTGTCTAGCCCGTATCTTCTCATCCAACAGCAGGGGCAGATCTGACTGTACGCAGGGCAAGACAGCTTCCTGGTATGTGTCTTGCAGTATCAGTCTAGTCTGAATCTTCTTATTTACCACCGCCTTCCTTTTGGTTAGAACAACCAAAGTTTCGAGTTATTTTAAGCTTTAGTGGGTCTTTTGGGTCTGGAATAGCATGCCAACTGGGAGCAGCCTTTTTAATTCTAGTCCAGTGAAGCCAAGGTTTGATTTCTGCTACCTTGACCGCACTGGGTGATGTAAGAATTACCACATAAGGTCCCTTCCATTTGGGTTGCAACGTTTCCCCTTTCCAATCTTTAACCCATACCTCATCCCCTGGGTGAAACAAGTGAGTGGGGGTCATGTGAATGGGCGGCCTGAACTCATAGGCATACTGTCGTAGCTCTTGCAGTGTTTTCCCCAAAGCAACCATTTCCTGTCTCTTTGCCTGGGCCCCTATCTCATGTAGTTCCCCTTGCAATCTGGGAAACAAAGGAGGGGGCCTCCCATAAAGCATTTCAAAAGGAGACAGTCCAATGGTCTTAGTGGGGGTACATCTAATATGTAACACTGCTAGAGGAAGAAGTTGAATCCAACTAAGTTCAGTTTCTTGACACATTTTAGCTAACTTAGTTTTCAGAGTTCGATTCATTCTCTCAACCTTGCCTGAGCTCTGAGGCCTATATGCACAATGTAATTTCCAAGTTATTCCAAGAACCTTAGCCAAGCTTTGAATGGTGGCTTTAACAAAGGCAGGGCCATTATCTGAGCCTATGAATGCTGGCATCCCATGCCTTGGGATTATGTCCTTCATGAGTGCTCTTGCCACTTCCGTGGCCTTTTCGGTAACAGTAGGGTACACTTCCGGCCATCCAGTGAAAGTGTCTACCATCACCAGTAGGTAGCGGTATCGCCCTACTCTAGCATTTCACTGAAATCTACAACAATGGCTTCAAAGGGTACATTTCCACAATGCTGGATGCCTGGGGGCTGGCACGGTCCTTGGCGTGGATTGTTCTTAGCACAGGTGTGACACCTAGCTGAAGCTGCCATTGTCAAAGAGTGGAGTCCATCTATGTACAGTTGTCTTTCTAGTAGTTTAGCTAGCGCCATTTTTCCTAGATGTATGGACTCATGGGCTCCTTTCACTACCTCCCATGCCATGGTTCTGGGGACAATGATTCTTCCATCCGGAAAGGCTAACCAACCAGTAGAGTTCGCCAATTCTACTGCTCCATTGTCCTGGGCCCATTGTTGTTCTTCTTTATTATAGGTAGGCTGCACCTTGGGATTGGGCAAGGGGAGAAGGGTAGCCACCTGAAGGGGTCTGGCAGCAGCTTCTTTGGCTGCTGCATCTGCCCTTCGGTTCCCTTGTGCTACCGGATCTTGCCCTGGTTGATGTCCCTTACAGTGCATCACAGCTACTTGTTTTGGGGCCCATACAGCTTCTAGGAGATGTAATATCTCTTCTGTACGTTTGACTGGTTGGCCTGCTGCAGTTAAAAGTCTTCTTTCTTTGTAAAGTGCACCATGGGCGTGCAGTACTAAAAAGGCATACTTTGAATCAGTGTATATGTTAACTCTCTTTCCCTTTGCTATCTCCAGAGCCCTGGTGAGAGCAATGAGCTCAGCCTTTTGAGCTGATGTATTTGCTGGCAGTGGATTTGCTTCCAATATTTCTTTGATGGTAACTATTGCATATCCTGCTTTTCGCTCCCCTTCTTCCATATAGCTACTGCCATCAGTGTATATGGTGAGCTGAGCTCCTTGCAATGGAACATCAGTCAAATCAGGTCGACTGGCATATACTGTGTCCATTACTTCAATACAGCTATGATGTTTCTCCATATGGGGATCTATAGGTAGGAGGGTAGCAGGATTCAAAGTAGTGCATTGCTGAACCTTAATGTGAGGGTTCTCACATAACAATGTCTGGTATTTCAGCATTCTGGAGGTGGTAAGCCAATGGTGTCCTTTGTGCTCTAACAATGTCACTACCTCATGCGGGGCCTTGATAGTCAAATCCTGTCCTAGGGTCAACTTCTGGGCTTCTTCAGCTACTAAGGCAGCAGCTGCTACTGCACGTAGACATGGGGGCCATCCTTTTGCTACCATGTCTAGCTGTTTAGACAAATAGGCCACTGGTCGTGGCCAGAAGCCCAAAGTCTGTGTTAAAACGCCAATGGCTACACCCTCTTTCTCAGCAACATAAAGAGTGAAGGGTTTAGTTACATCAGGTAGGCCCAAAGCTGGCGCTGTCATCAGGGCTGACTTTATTTGCTGGAAAGCCTCGTCCTGTTCTTGTGTCCATTTAAAGGGTTCTTTTTCACCCCCCTTTGTAACTTGGTACAAAGGTCTTGCCAATACTGCATAGCCAGGAATCCAAAGTCTACAAAACCCTGCTGCCCCTAAAAATTCGCGGACTCTCTTCCTCGTAGTGGGGACTGGGATTTGGCAGATGGCTTGCTTTCGTTCAGTTCCTAGGCTTCTAAATCCTTGTTTTATTTGGAATCCTAAGTATTTGACCTCAGTTTTGCACAGCTGGGCGTTGGTCCTTGATACTTTATATCCCTTATGGCAAAGTAATTGGAGTAGCTGCTTGGTGGCACCCCAACTCTCTTCCATTGAGGTGGAGGCCAAAAGTAAATCATCTACATATTGCAAAAGGACAGTCTTTTCTGAGTCAGAATGAAAGTCCTCCAAATCTTTTGCTAGGGAAGTTCCAAATATCGTTGGAGAATTTTTAAAACCTTGAGGCAATCTGGCCCACGAATACTGTTGTTTTGCTCCTGTGGCTGGGTCTTCCCACTCAAAAGCAAACAACAACTGGCTTTGGGGGGCTAACCTTATGGAGAAAAAAGCGTCTTTAAGATCAAGGACTGTAAAATGGGTGGCCTCTGCTGGTATGAGTCCCAATATCACATAAGGATTTGGCACAACTGGGTGCAAGGTAACTGTTGCCTTGTTGACTTCCCTAAGGTCTTGAACAGGGCGAAAATCATCTGTGGTACCTGGCTTCTTGACTGGAAGGAGGGGTGTATTCCATGGAGACTGGCATTTTGTTATAATGCCATGCTGCCACAGACGGTCCAAATGCTTTTGGATTCCCTTTATTGCTGGTCTGGGAATTGGATACTGCTTTAGACTGACTGGACGGGCTCCTGGGATTAACTCTACTACGACTGGAGGTATGTATTTGGCCATGCCTGGGGGGTTGTCTTCTGCCCATACCTCGGGAGTTTCAAACTTTTCCCATTCATTGTTCTCTGAGCCCTTTTTAACTACTAGCAGCCTCCATTCCTCCTCCATAGGGCAGGTGAGGTGCAAAAGGCCTGTGGTTCTTCCTACAGCCATCTTAGCAGATCCATCTTCCTCAAATGATAGCCTTGCTTTTAGTTTGCACAGCATGTCCCTTCCCAGCAATGGAACTGGGCAGTTAGGCATATATAGAAAGCTGTGGGTGACTTCTTTATTTGCTAGCTGACATCTTCTTTCCTGTAGAAAGGGTCGGAGACATTGATCTCCTGTTGCTCCCATAACTTTTATGGTTTGCTGAGTTATGGGGGCCAATGGGGTGGTAACTACTGATTTTTCCGCTCCTGTGTCAACTAGGAATGTTATTTCTTGGGATCCTACTTTTGCCTTGACCAAGGGTTCCCTGGATCCCAAGGTTAGAACCCCGGACTGGCTTCAGTCCTCTTCTGGCCCTGACCATTGGGGGCCTCCGGCCAATCCAATGAATCCTTCTTCCTCTGGCTGCTCACGTGCTTCTTGATAGAAGGGTCTCTGTCTCCCGGGCATCTCACTTCCTCTTCCTCTCTGCTCTTGTGGGTGTCCTCTTCCTCTCCCTCTTCTTATCTGGGGGCAATCTCTCCTCCAATGTCCCCGTTGTTTACAGTTGGAACATTGGTCCTGCCCAAGGGGCTGTCCTCTTCCTGGCCCATAACTTCGCCCTCTGCTTCGCCCTCTGCTTTGCCCTCTGCTTTGCCTTATTTCTGGGTTCCATTCCCTCAGTGCTGCAGCCAAGCAAATGGCTTGAGCTCTCATCTGCCTCTGTTTATCCCTCTTCTCTTCCTGATCCCTATTTGCCATGACTCTATTAGCAATTTCAATTAATTGAGACATGTTCATTCCAGCAAACCCATCCAATTTCTGTAGCTTTCTTCTAATATCTGGGGCGCTTTGTTCTACAAAAGTTGCATTCACCATGTTTCTATTGGCTTCCTCTGCGGGGTTGAAAGGCGTGTATTGTCTGTAGGCACTTAACAGCCTTTCCAGGTAGGCGCCTGGGCTTTCATCGGCACCTTGCTTTATTTCTTTTACTTTAGATAAGTTAGTAGGCTTTTTCCCAGCTTCTGCAAGGCCTTGGATCATTAACTGGCCATACTGACGAATTCGAGTCAATTGGTCTGCTGTATTAGGATCCCATTGTGGATCAGTTTCTGGACAATTCTCCCTCATGTGGTCAACTAGGTTAACAGCAGCATTTCTCCTAGCCTCAGTCTGCCGCTTCATAGCTGCTAAGACCCTTTTACGTTCCTCCGTAGTAAGGAGGGACGTCATCAACTGCTGACAGTCCTGCCATGTAGGGTCATGTGTATTGACAATATTAGTGAAAACATCTGTCATTGGTCCTGGATCTGTAGAGAAGGGGGTGGTGTGTGTTTTCCAATTGAAAAGATCTGAGCTGGTAAATGGCACATGCGTAAAAGCTGGCCGGAACTGAGGCACTTGTTGTCCACCTTCAACTTGGGTCCCTATGAATTCCCTCACTTGACGAAGAGGCATTACTGTAGCCAATTTCTTGTTTGCCTTGTCCATATTCCTTAAGTTATGGTCATGGCCTTTTGCTGCTTTCAGTGTTGCCTTTGCCTGTAGGGATTCTTTTTCAGGGGAAGGAGTTGAAGAAGACTCAGTCATGGTAGAGTCTGTGTCATCATCTAAATCTTCAGGGAGATCTGGGTACAGTTGTGCTGGGGCCATAGGTTGCGTTGGAGGGCTTACTGCTGCTGGATCAAGGGCTGGAATTGCAGGGGCCTGGGGGGCTATGAGCTCCCCAGTTGAATAAGGAGGAGGTGCATTTATTTCCTCCTCAACAGGGCATGGCAGAATAGGAGCTTTAGTTTTCTGTGCTAGGAGAGTTTTGCAATGTGCTAAAGCACAAGGCTTCAGCCATTCTGGCATTTGGCGCACCACATCTCCCCAAGCTAGGATATAGGGGATATGTGTGGGATAACTTCCCTCAAAAGGATTTGCTCCTCTTGCTCTATCATAGACACTAGCAATGATTTGTTGATCAAGAGTGCCCTCTTCTGGCCAACCTACGCTAAATTTAACCCATTCCTTTTGGCATAAAGTTTGCAATCTACTGGGCCTTAGTGGTTCTCCATAGTCTAGCTTTCCAAAGCTTTTGTCAAAGTGTGCTAACATGAGCTCTAAAGGAGTTTTTGGCTTGCTGCTAACAGACCCTCCCATGTTCAGACAAATGGACAACTAATACACAAAAAAGGAGAAAGGAACGGGATCTGACCACGCGTTTGCATCCGTCCCCTGACTCTGCCAGTCGCCCGACAAAGAGAACTGCAAGGGATTCCTTTAGAAGGAACGCCAACCCCAGAGGGGCGGACACGGACCACACTTCCCTTCGCTCACCAGTCTGGGATTCTGCGATCCCCTGTGACCAGCCTCTTGGCCCTTTCATACACCAATCACTCACACATTCATCCACCACGAGGTACTTATCTCCCCAACCCCTTTCCTTATTTCTCTAGGCAGTCAGTTTCCCTTTCCTGGTACACAAAGCAAACACAAACCCCAAAAAAGTCTACTAGGGACTGCCTTTTTCCAGGTTAATTACTCCTGGGGCCTTCAGCAAAATGCTAAGGCTTTTCCTGACGTCTACACTTTCCTAAAATGTCATGGTGCAATTCATACTCGCCTGATCCGTGGTTTTCGCAGCCTCTTAGGTGAAAGGATGGAATTTCGTCAGAAGCAGCAGTCTGTCTTCACCTTCCCGAGGGCTCCCTCCAATGCCGGCCGGTGAGAGTGCTGTCGAAATGATGCAGCCCAGCCTGCTGCCTTGGAGGAATCTTCCAGGCCTCCCAAAAGGCCTCTGTCTTTAATCTTTTTCCCTACAAACCTCTCTCAAAAGACTCCTGGCTGGCTCGCCAAAATATGTTAGGGACTGAGAGAAAGTTTGAGGCAATAAGACAAAGAGAGATCCAGAGTACTGGAAAGCACACTTTATTCTCGGTTGGCGCCAACCGGATATAGACCCCCTGGTAAGCCGGGAAAGAAGGGTCCCGAACAAAAGAAATGCAGAGTATTTATACACTTTTTGAAAATAAGTATTCATGCATCATAGAAACATCACAATGTGCGTCACAAACATCTACTCTTTCACTGACTTCAAAGGCATATTTTGAAAATCAACAAGTTGTCAATCCTCATTAATTTACTATCTAAAGAGTGGCTATTAATGTACTCCCAGCGCCAGGATGTCTCCGGACCTGCTCCATCCATCTTGAGATAACATTCCTGAGACCCCCTAATGGACACTTCATTAGTCAATTTTACGATAAGGTACCAGGCACCTCTTAATGGATGATAAGGTGCCTGGTGCCTGGTATGTATCTTATCTTATGGCCTCTCGAAGTGCCAGGCACCACATTCCTTTCCTGGAGCTGGCCTCTAATTTTGCAGCCTTTGAGAAGTCCAGTGAACTAGCCATGCATACATACATTTCTCTTATATATTTTCTAACTCCTATTTCTAATATGGTTATATCAAATATATTTTCCAATATGTGTATTATGTATTTTCATCAAGCCTTCATCAACAAGATATATATATAAATACAATATATTACATTATTACCATAATACAATATAAATATTATATATTACTACATTGTACTACACCATTATATTGCAATATTATTAGTAATATTACATGTTATATAAAATATATAATTATATATTATATTGTATTACATTATAATATTTATGTATAGCTAATCAGAGTGTAAGTATACTGTTTTAATCTTTATTTATTAATGTTCATGTTTAATTGTTATATTTGTTATTCTTTATTTTATGATGCAGTATTGAATTATTGCCAATTGTAAGCTGCCCTGAGTCCCCCCAGGGGTTGAGAAGGGCGGGGTAAAAATGTTCGAAAAAAATAAAAATACATTATATTATTAGCATAGCAAAGGAAACAAGGTGGAACTGCTTAAACTGCTATTGTGTTTAATGGATGAGTATGGGGACTTTGCAGACATTGCCTTGCAATGGTTCCAGTCCTATTTTTGGCTGAACATTCCCACAATTTGGTGCTGTGATAGTATTGTTCGGCCTTTTAGCCATTAGCCTGTAAACGTAGCACCGTGGTCACCAAAATTCGTGTGTACTCAAGCCCCAGAAGCCGTAGCAAAATGGTGTCCGCTCTATAAAATGGCAAAATCAAGGTTTCAAATATTTTCAAACCATGGATGGGGAGAATCAATGGAGGGCCCACTGCACTCCCCTTTAGATTGCGTTGGGAGAATCCCAGTACAGTATTCACTTGGGAAGAGAGCGTACCATTCGTGCAGTGAGCGGGGGAGGGGGAGAAAGAGAGAGAGGACACGGAAGTTGTCGACAAGAGAGGGTCTATGTCCGGAACTGGGTCTGCGCCTGCGCAGTGCCATGCGGTGGCGCAAGAAGGCGGACCGCGTCCGATCCAGCCCCCTCGTGCTGCTCCTCCTCCTCTCGCGATACTTGTCGCCGGCCGAGGCTGAGCGGGGCCTGCGCGTCGCCGGCCGGCGAGCAGTGTTGATGGTGTGGCGGCGCCAGCGGGGGCTGAAGGGACGATGGCGCACCGAGGCTCGGGGAGGCCGTCGGAGACGGAGGTAGAAGCGCTGAAGGAGGCCGAGGCGGCCTTGGAGCGGCAGAAGCTGATTGCAGGTGGGAGATGAGGCGGTGGATGTGAGAAGGGGAGGGCAAAGGAGGCACGGAGGGGTGAGGCGGAAGGAAGGAGGGAAAGGAGGAAGCCGGGTGAGGCGAGGGCGGAAGGTCAGGGAAGGAAGGGTGAGTCAGGGGGACTGGCGCTGCTGCGTCTCCACCGAGGAATTAAGGCAGTTTGACACCACTGCAACTGCCATGGCGCACGGCTATCTAATCTGGGATTCGTAATTTGGTGAGGCACCATCACTCTTTGGCAGGGAAGACTCAGGAGCCTGTGAAACTCAGGTATTGAGCCATGGCAGTTAAAGGGATGTCAAGCTGCATTAATTCTACCATGCAGATGCCCTCTGGGAAAGGCGCCTAATGGCGAGATGCAGCTTTCTGACTAGCATCTCCACTCTCAAATAGTCTCTATTGGTCATTTTAAATTTCTGGGCTGAATTATGGTCTTGTCAGCCTTTAAGTTTTAAATTGCACTGTCTGGTCCCTTTTTTGTTGTGAAGCAGGAATTTTCTTCCTGCCCCTTTCCTTTAAAAAGCCCCCATTAACCCAAACTATATGTATGAAAGCTTGGAGAAGGCAATGATGCTG